AGGAAGTTGTGATAAAATTATGAGTTATTTATCAGTGTTCGAGGGATATTCGGTGAGAAAATTTTTTGCAATTCGAACAAAATTATTTATTGAACACACAGTTATTAAAAGAACAATTCGTATAATGATATAACTCCATAAAATATTTTCCAAGTGTATTTTTTACTATTGACAGTATTTTTTGGTGTATTTTCTTCAATGATTTTGTCAATTGCCGCATCATTTTGAACACCAAAGCGAGGAAGTGACATTTTCGAAATTAACTGAATTACTGAAATGTCAAACAACTTTATTGTGTTGGTTGCTTAGCAATGTCATGACTTAAGTGATAACTACCCGTGAAAACTATCCATGGGTAGTTATCAGTGTAATGATGGTTTCATTGGTTATTTCGACACACATGACTAGAAATAGACAAATTTCATAGGATGAATTTTTTGGCAAAAAATTTTCAGTGTAATGATGGTTTCATTGGTTATTTCGACACACATGACTAGAAATAGACAAATTTGATAGGATAATTTTTTTGGCAAAAAATTTTCATTGAAATTTATGTTACAATTCCAATACATTTTCATGTCTTACATTTCTGTCCACGGAAGATTTCCGTTGAAAATACTGCTGATTATTGATCTTACCTGAGATGTTTAGGACTTCTATATATCAGGCCGAATGACCGATTTTTAATATTTTTGCTACTTCAATTTTGGAAAAGTCAAAACAATTTCTCCATTTTTCATTTCTGTTGAGCAACTGACAAATTAACAATAGCATAAATCAGTCCAGGAACTGAAACAGTAACAAACCTTCTTATAGTATCGTTTTTTTAAAGCAAAGAATTGAACGTAACCTACAGAGCAAATAATAATTTGAGTAAATTCATTTAAAAAATAATGATAAACCTTCAGTGTCGAATAGATCGGGAATATATGAGTTGACTTGCGGTTCTTGTCCTGAATTTAATATTGGCCAAACCGGAAGAACTTTTCCCAAAAGAGTAATAGAGCATAGAAGTAGCTTTTTTAATGGAAAGAGCAATTCAACATTTGCGAACCATGAATTTCGCCAGCCGACTGCAGTTGAATCTGATTGGCCATCGTAAGGAGGCTTGTTTATTTGGTGGAGCTTTACAATTATGGAATCAGAGGACCGGCAAACGATATTCTACAGAATTATCTATATAAGAGATCTCAAAAAGTGAAGTTAGGGGAATATTGTAGTAATCCTTCGGCAATATCAATTGGGGTACCACAAGGAACAGTGCTAGGCCCAATATTGTTTCTTATTCATATAAATAGTATTGGATTTTTGAAAAACTCCAAAGCCCATATCATCTCGTATGACGGCAATTCGATTTTTTCTGCACAAATACTTGGGATGAGGTTGTTGATGATGCAAATAGAACAAGTTAAAGAATGGCTAGATGAAAACCTAGCTTGAATGTAAAAAAACTAAATAATTCTTTTTTGTCTGATTGCAGGTGATTAACCGACAGTAAAGTATTTATATACACGAGAATAATTGCCAAAATTGTCTAGCTTGCAATTGTCTGAGAATTGAGAAATGTAAAAGTATTTAGGTGTTATGATAGACCAAATTTTGAGGTGGGAAAATCATTATATATTATTGACTAACAGACTCAGACAGCTAACTGGAAAAATTTATGAACTGAGAGTGATTCACTATACTTCAGCTGAATCTATATCATGGTTTGTATAAAAGCATGGGGACGTTTATTTCGCAATAATTTAACAAAACTACAGTCAATGCAAAACAAAGTCTTGAAAATAATATTCAAAAAAACGAAACTTCAAGAGCAAAACTATAAGTGTAGTCGCAGATACTTGATATTAGAAGCTTGTATGCCTACCAATGCTTAGAATGGATGTTATATAACGTAAATCGATTCAACCGCCCCATGGAAGTGGTGAATAATACCAGATCATTGGATAATTTCACAGTATATATACCAATGTACAAAAGGAGCCACACAAAAAGGACCAGTTTTTTTTTGGGCCGAAACTGTATAATCTTCTACCACATGAACTGAAGATAATAACAAACCTCCATTAGTACAAACAACAAATAAAACATTTTATCCTGAAAAATACAAAAGAAATTTACAAAATAATAAATGCTTAGATGCAGTCTCTTCATCCAACAGTCTGAATAAAATTGAGTAAACCATTGAAGGGTTTTTTTGCATACACGAACGTGACGGTTACTATTTCAGGATAATTTCGATTTCAGCAACTCCAGAAGTAACTGGCTGATGGAATTTTGGACTATATTGTCCAAACGAGAAATTATCTACTAAGAGTTCTTATTTCTGTGATAGTTCTGTTCGAATATTTCGTGAAGAGTAATTGCTTTCATAGAACAGTCTGTGAGTTATATAATATTACGTGTTTGAAGAAACTTTCCTATTCCAATTGGAATTTTCGATACTTTGTTCTTCGGAGTCATTTTCTGGATACATTTTCGAAAATTCCCATTCCATGTGGTAGAAAACTCATACATTGACATCCTAATAGTGATTTAACTACAACAGTGGTTATATAAAAAGCAACCAGGTGCATCTATGTGCCACCCAATGTGGTCAATTGAAAATCAACATTTTCCCAGCCGATATATATGATTCATATTCCGAGAATGGAACTTTATCGTGTAATAATGCATGGTATGCATTCTTCGACGCATCATATCTGTATTTTGCTGGCTTCAATTATGCTGCCGACGTATTATTAATCACAGCAACATTATTTGGCTTTGTTCATGTGTAGATTCAGTTCTACAAATTGCCCTCTTCCAATAATCAGTTGCGAAATATAAAAAGAAATGAATTGAAAGGGGTATATTTTTTGAAGTGATCATTTTTCGGAAAAGAAACTTTTTGGCTTTCTACTACTCCATCGCGATACAAAAAAATGTGGGAGTCTTTCACAGAAAAAAATGATGCAATAAAATTTCAAAAGACTATAGAAAAATGTGTAGATCATGCAAAGAAGTACTTTCAGAAATAAACTGGAAGAAGAAAGTCCTCCACATTGAATTGCACGAAAAAAAAATTCTTTCTAAATAAATACTTTTATATGAACACTGAATTATACAAAAAGTACTTTTCATTACTCAGTTTGCATTTCAAACATTCGTTATGGAATTGAATCAGATATCATTCACAGGATTCCTACACATTATAATAAATGAAAGTTAAAATATTTATTCATCTCAACCTTGCTCATAAGTTATTATTATATTTTCGAATCATTTGTAAATACTTCAGTTCGAGATTGATGATGAATTGAAATTCACTGTTTAATTCTAAGCTATTCATTGCAAATAACATTCTTATTAGGACTATAATCGTGAGAGATAATTCAGTTGAAGATAATACTTTACAATTCACAGCATCAATTATTTCTGCCAAACACGCGAATTTTTCTGAAGGACAAGTAAACAAGACAAATTATAATTGATTTACCCAAGCAACAATTTTTCTTACGAATGTTCCATCACTCGAGGGATCAGATGCTAAACAACTTAATAGATGCGCACAAACCATTGTCACGACTTTTGGGGAATTTTCATAATGTATTCATCGAACATGCATCAACAATAAACCTATCAATACAACCTATTATTATTTGAAATAGTGTGATTAGTATCAATATTGTAAAATATGCGGGCAATGTAATGGAATTCAAATTCTCATACACAACTGAATTTCTTTTATCTACTAGAAATTGGAATTTGGCATAACTGGAATAACAATTGGGCAACATAATATACCATTCACATAATAATGAAGCCTCTTGTATATGTCTTGGATTCAAATTTTCTTAATATGAGAGAGAAAGTTGATAGTGTTGATGTTCGCTAAATGGAAGTTACGTTTCCTATACCATTATTGTCAACGATTTCAACATTGTTCAGTACTTCCTGATTGTTGTTAAGAATTACGGAATGCGTAGATTGTACTTTTTGAAAACTCCAGAATCAGTCATCTATCAATTATTCGCAAGTTGAATTTTCGTGCAAACATATTCATGGTTATTGAATGGTTCAAACGGAGTTGAGAGTTTTTGTTTGAACCCCTTGTCAAAACAAGAAAATAGTATATTTTGAAACCCACAATTTTCTATCAAAAAAAGTTATTTGCATCGATTTCGCTTGTTGAACAATATATTCCAAAGTTCCATTTGGATATAATCAAACGCTCTTCATGACATAAATTGCAAATTTATTGGGAAGTGTTTGGGAGCTTCCTGATTGAAATATTTCCTTCAAGTCTACCACAAACATCTAGTTTCACAAGCTTGAAATGCTATTCCTCCAATCTTTCAATGATATCCGTTCGAACAGTTCTATTGGAACTGCTTTGATATCATTTTTCTCTACAACTTGAGAGCCGGTCTCCCAAGTCTTGGGAAAACACTCCAGCTTGGACTCATTTGTTCTTTCATCTTCGTCATCACAGTGAAAGTCACCATTGTGAAGACTTTGTGAAGATTATGCACTACTTTCCTAGCTTAATGCGTCATTGGTAATGCTGACATCTGAAAAAGAATGTTTTCACGTTTAGTTGAACTATTTTAAATTTACTACACCTACTCCAAGAGCTGCGACTTTCATGTAAATTCTAGTGTTGGTACAAGTACGGGATATAATACTGATTGAATGTTGTATCTAATTTTTGAAATGCTTGAATTAGTTGAACAAAAAACAGTTTTGTGGTTCATACCTAACGCTAAATATACAAACGTATGTTACTGGCATTGATCTCACCTGTTCTCAAGAGTACTTGATAAGTCAACAACATTTTCTTATTTGTTTTGCCACAATATTAGATATATTTGCAAGTTCCGATGTATGTCAACGTTTCCTTTCCTTTCCATATATCCAGTGGGAGGAGTGTACAGGGTCTCTGTCCAATAACAACTTCACTAACCTTATTTTTACTGAAATTTACTGTGGTTCAAACGTCATGTTATTTCTTTCAGATGGCGTGGCAGTGTATATAAACTGGTGTGGAGAGAGTTATTAGCCTATTTATCATTATATTATACCATCAACCTCATATACAGATTCGCCCTCACAGAACCACAACAAAGGTAAGAACATATTATACTCGTAAGGTCTAGTTGATATATGTTGATCAGGGTGGGGCATCGAAAACTTGACATGGAGGTTTTGGGTACTAATTTTGCAAATCCTAAAAAAACGCTCATTGGGAGGGGGACAGTTTTTTTCTACATTTACAGCGTCGTCACTTCAACCCCGGAGCAGAGGGGTGAACAAACCTTGGAATTTCAATAGGGAACTGGGGGCGAGTCGTTTGAAAGATCTTGGAATTCTCTAAACAACGGTGTACATTTTTTTTTAATTTGGACGTAGAGTTGAAGTTACTTACTTTATTCTCATGTTAGCTAACCATGTTAGCACCTCCAGCTTCCATGCAGTAATAGAGATTCTGCTGGAAACGTTCTCGAACTTTGTGGAGCAATTCTGGAGTGATTTGACGACATTCATTTGTGATTCGTTGCCGTAAATCTTCAAGTGATGCAGGAGGAGTACAGTAAATTCTGCTTTTCAAATGACCCCACAGAAAGAAATCTAACGGCAAAAGGTCTGGTGATCGTGGTGGCCATTCGATAGTGCCCCGCCTCCCAATCCAGTGATCCGGAAAAGTCTGATCTAAATACTGCCGAACGGGCAGAGCATAGTGCGGAGGAGCCCCATCTTGTTGAAATATTAACAGATCTTCCCGATAATTGTGGTCATTTTCAATAATATCAGTGAGAAGGGGATTGATAGTATCTTCCAGAAGCTCCAGATTCATTCATCCGGTTAAATTACCTTCTAAAGACGATGGGTCGATAATACGGTCACCAAAAATTGCAGCCCATACATTAATTTTTGTGGACGTTGAGTATGCACTTCATGAAAAATGTTAGGATTTGAATCAGCCCAATAGCGACAATTATGGCGACAGTTCATGCGTTAATTTAATCTTGTGAGGATGCATTTCGTGGGTTTTTAAAATACGCCGAATGCTAATTCGTGACACCCCGGAAACAAATGCTAACTTTCTTGTGCTCAAAGTATGGTCAAGCTCAACATGGCCCAGAATTGCCACTTATGTCGCCTCATTTGTTACTGGTGGTTCAATTTGCTGTTTTTCATTTGCTACAGATCCGATTGCGCGAAATTTTGCAATTGAATCGAAAACATACTGTCGCGACAAATTCTTCCCATGTTGTTGATCGAACAGTTCAGCGGCTCTCGCAGCACGTCTATTTCCATAGTACAGTTTAGTCAACTCAACCCTCTCTGCAGTTGTGTGAACCATTGCTTCTTTAGCAACACTTTACGGCACTCACTACTAGTAATAATGTAGATATCACTTTTAACATAAAAATTAAAAATAGAAACACCATTTTCAATCATTTCTCAATTGTAATAGTCCTCTTATCAGAGAAGAACTAAAAAATCAACAAAAAAGTAGCGTAGGAAACAAATGAAAGAGTTCCAAATACATTCCAATTGAGCAGTGACGTACAACAATTTGATGCTATCAACAATATTGAAAAAGTTAATTTTATCGGAAAGAACTCTTTTAAATACGTCCAAATTTAAAAAAATTCACACCATTGTTTAGATAATTCCAAGATCTTTGAAACGGTGTGCGACTCGTCCCTTATTCCCTATTAAAATTCCAAGGGTTGACCACCCCTCTGCTCCGGGGTAGAAGTAACGACGCTGTGAATAGGGGAAAAACTGTCCCCCTCCCAATAAAAATCGACATGTCTGAGCATTTTTACGGATTTGCAAGATTAGTACCCAATACCTCCAAGTCAAGTTTTCGTTGGCCCACCCTGTATGTATGTATTTATGATGAACCTTGCTTTGATACTACTTGTAAAAGCGATTAGTAATTCCCGCTTCAGTACACTTGTTTCCTGAACATTCTAGTTTCCTTCCATATCCCACATGTCTTTCTATGGATTAGACGTCACATATTTTTTATTTCAGAGCAGGATGTTTGGTGAAAAAATATCTTACATAAGCACACTATTCATTCTCAAATGCTTACGCCGTTCATGCATGTCACCTATTCATATTTAGAAATCTCTGAAATAACAAGTTTGCAAGCGATTACTTTTACTCGATTATCTCATCTTTTCGCACAACACCTAGTTCCAAACTTTGATTCATTATGACAAATAAAGTTGTTCGATGTCGTTTCAGCTTCGACTGATAAAAATCAAAAATTATTCAAGGTGAAAATTGAAAGTGAAAATTGATTTGGTATTCTTAGTTACTATGCATAGTTAGAAATAAGTATTTGATTTATTTGATTTGCGTTTGAACATTGAACTGACGGTCTCCATGAAAGTTATACTTGTACATTTCCATACATTGTGGATCAGCATCACCAAGTGAACAACCGTTCTTGATATGAAAACTACTTCCACCGAAACCGTTAATTTATCACCTTCGCATACTGAAATGCACTTTCCGTAAATAATTTTTTTAAATTTTTCTGTTCAATCCACTTGTACCAACTTTGCTCTTCTCACAAACTACTTAACTGAAAATCATGAGAAGGAGGCTACTCTGTCTATACTGACTTTTCTAAAGCCTTTGATAGAGTCAACTACGGTCTACTTATATCTAAAATTCAAGCGCTTGGTATAGACGGGAATGTTTTGCAAGTAATTAATAGCTTCTTAACTGGTAGAACTGTGTCTATCAAATACGGAGACACAACATCTACGCCCATTCACGTTCCATCAGGGGTACCGCAGGGGTCCCATATGGGTCCACTGCTGTTCAACTTGTTTGTATCGGACATAGAGTTTGTTTTCAAATATTCAGAATTTCTCATGTTTGCTGATAATCTCAAACTTTATCGAACAATTACTTGCCGGGAAGATGCTGAATTAGTTCAAAAAGATTTCGAATCCTTTTCCATGTGTTAGAGGTAAAGATTGATTAGTGTCAAATCATTACGTTCGCTAAAATTAGAAGTCCAATATTCTTTGAATATTCATTGAATAATATAGCTGTTGAAAGAGAAACATTTATTCGCGATCTGTGAGGTAGATTTGATAGCGAAATTAATTTCAATCTCCAAGTATCAGAAATTGTGGCAAAAAGTCTCAAAATGCTGGGTTTTGTATTGATAATTTCTACTGATTATTCAATTGAAACAAAAAAGATTTTATATTGTGCTTTCGTAAGATCTATTCTTGAATATTGTTCAGTTATATGGGACCCATTCTATAATGTAAATAAGGATTCGATTGAGAATGTTGAAACGGAATTCTTAAGGAATTGTACTTTTCTCGTTGGTATTCAACGAAATGAATATGAGTACAGTCAACTCTTAACCAAGTTAAATATAGAACCTTTGGAAGATAGGGAATTTCTATGAACTTGAGTTTCCTCTTTAAATAAATAAATAGTGAGATAAACTGCCCAGAACTACGTCAACTAATACCTTTTCATATCTTTTCGTATCATATACATTTTTTCCATATGAATTTTTTCCATACCAATTATTCATTGAACAGTCCGATTCCTCGTATTCTGAAGCTGGGAAATCAATATCATGACTCAGATCTGTTAATTGTATCACTCCAGGTCTTTAAAAATCAAATTAAAATGTTGTAGAGTTTTCGAAACTTTTCTTTGCCTTACCATTTTCTTTGTAAGTACCAGAATTGTTTCATCTTTTAGTAATGTAGTTACTAGACATAAAGATTTATTAGTATTTCGTATTTTCACACTTCGCTATACGGATATTACTATATATTACGATTCAACCCATCCATATAAATACAAAATTGCATTAAAACATGGATTTAAAGCCAAATTAATATACAAAATACTTTCCAAAATAGTTTAAGCAAAAGCGATTAGAGACGAGATTAATAAGTTAGATAATCAAAATCAAAGTTATAAAACTTTACCGTATTTTGGACAAACAACAGAAAAAGTGGCCTCATTTTTGAGAAAACGAGATATTAAAATTGCATATAGAACAAGCAATACGTTGGGAAAGTTAATTAAAAATAATAAAGACGAAACATCCAAATTCGAGAAATCAAGGGGTATATAAATTAAAGTGTGGAACACGTTCCAAAGTATATATTGGTCAAACTGGCAGAACATTTAGGAATCGAATCCAGGACCATCACTTGAGCTATGTAAATAAGAAAACAAATTCAACATATTCGAATCATCTTTCAGGAGAAAATTTTATCTTCAACGAAGAGTTCGAAATTTTACATATAGAAAATGAAGGTTTGGTTTATGAATCGTGAAAAAAATCATCTGAAGTTCTTTTTTCTTTTGCAGGATATTCGAACGAATACGACTATACTTCGGTCAGCAAAGTGAGACGATACCGATGTCGTTCGTCTTAGGATTTTACGTATCTCTAGTAGTTAGTAGATGGTGGGATCAGTACAAGTTACTACCATGGCCTGATACTCTTGCTCTTTTCCTCAACGCGGGTATCCCAGGCGCGGTAAGTACGTATACATTTTCATCAGAACCAATAACATTAGAATTATGCGACAGAATCACAACCAGATTATAGAGAATGGATTTGAGATGAAAAATTTCAATAATGTTTCTAATATTTGCCTATAAAAAATATTTTTCTTCACTCAGATATAATAAACAACTTAGATACAATAAACAACTACTTTCATATGAACATCAAATTATACAAAAACACTTTTTCCTACTCAGTTTTTACTCCAAACATTCGTTATGGTGAAAATTTCACTTACATGGAACACTGTCATCCTCACTGGTGGAGATTTGCTGTTTAGGCATCAATCTGGATCATAAGATGAGGCACACAATTCATTCATAAAATTACGACTCCATCCTTCAGTGAATATGAATATGTGTTACCTGATACATTTTCTAGATTTAAATACATGTCGTTTCATTGATACAAAAGATCTATTCATTTCGTTTCTTTGATATTTTTTACATGTCATAGTTTTTTCGAGTCACCAATTGTTATGTGCTCCGTTGAATTTTTGGTGCTCGTCCTATTTTTTGATTGCTTCGCAACATGCAACCAGGGCAATACCCTGGTTGCATATCGTAAAAGGCAATTATTTGCAAATAGTATTTGCGTTGTGCATGCAGAAATATTGTTTCGATATGTGCGCGGCATTGACTGGAAAATCAAGGCATTTCATTATATGCAAATGATTTCTCATTTGCCAATAAGATGGAAAATAAGGATGATAGAAGGAAAATCGAGGAATTCACGTAATGAATTACCAAAGTTCTGGTTTACTGTCAGAATATTTTGTAGGAAAATCTTGAGTCGCAGAATTATGCCATTCATATCGATGGAGAAGATGATCTTATGTAGGAATGTACAACTGCAAAAACTGAAACATCACCTCTGCATAACATGTGTGTCAAATGCAATTCTGCAAGTTGCCAGCTTGACATTTTTTACTGTTCCATCTCTAGGATTAGGTCTTTTTACGTCAGCTAATTCTATATGTATTGTTTTTATCTTATAACTCATTGTAATTGTATTGTATTGTGATTTGACTTATATCCCTGTTCTGTAGTTGGGTGCTACCTGTAGAACAGTGTATGAAGAAATGAATAAATAAACTATGTACGAGGTCTGTTTAAAAAATGTTGCTACACTCGTCTCGAAAATATGTTCACATATGTTTCAGCTGTTTAGTTAGCATGTTCGAATTGTTGATGAGAGGCATCAATGTTGATAATGTCTTGGTGTTCAGCGATTTTTTGCTATCGAAAAAATAAATCTAAGAAATTGCATAAAATTATGTGTTAAAATGAAACTGAGTGCTCAAAAACATTCTGAATGTTGACAGTGGCATACGGCGATTGTACTCTAAACCAGAAAAATGTTTACAAGTGGTACAAGCTTCTCACAGAAGGTTGAGAAAATGTGAATGACGACGCTAACTCTAGATGATACAGCACATCTACCAACCAATGAAAATGTTGCCAAGTTGCCAATTGCATCTCATGCAATTTTTTCGGATGAAATTAATATAGATATGCTACTTCTTTGCTGTCCTATAATACTACATATCTCACTTATATAATAAATTCATGAAAAGATTTGGAAAAGCTGAATACACTTATTTGAATTAATGAATCGAAGAGATTTTTGTATTAAAATGTATAATTTTTAAAATTCTTGCAAAGCGCTTTCGACTTTCGTCATCATCAGTGCTCACTTGTCAGGCAACAGGAAGTATCAAATTGAGTACATTGCACATTTGTAATATTTGACTTATATAAAACAAAATAGGCTCATAGCCAAGAAAATACAATTTTTGATTGAGGCCATGTGATTCACATGACCGGATCAACATGGCCATGAAACTGAAGACTTCTACAAGTCAAAATAGTAAGGAAACTCAAACGGTTGCATATGCGTTTCTACCGTACATCCCTAGGGTTACAGATAGAATCGGAAAAATACTAAGGAAACATAACATAAAAACAGTGTTCAAGCCTACCAGGAAAATACAGCAAAGCCTGAGACCTGTGAAAAATAAAAGAGTTCCACTATCAGCTGCGGGGGTATGTCGTATATCATGCACCTGCGGAAAAGTTTATATTGGTACCACCAATGGGTACCATGGGTACAAGGCTAAATGAAAGCTTTGAAGGAAACAGAATTGAATCGATGAATAAATGAATATTTTTTGAGAAAAATTAAAATTCACCTTATATTTTGAACAGACCTTGTAACAGCAGGGTACACCCAAAGGTCAGAACCCTGTAAGCAAAAGTCATTGAACTCGAAATATTTTTCCACATCAAATTGTCCGCTTTTTAACAATTCAATTCACGTTAGAGTGAGAAAGTTAGTTACACTACTTCTTGTATGGTGGAAAACATTGAGCTATGAAGTGGTCGGTAGTTGGTCGGTTCGACGTGGGTGCTTTGTTCACTCACTCAAATCGACCGCAGAGTTGGACGGTGGTTCAAGCCCCAGGCTGAACGATCGATTTTCACTTGCTATCATCCAACCCGTGTCAGGAATTACACGTTAAGAGGTGAGACCTCGTTAGTCCTTAGTTCGCACAAATTTTGACTTCTGAGGGTTGTCGTTAGTAGGGGTGCGACAGTTACTTAACGGAAAAACAGAATTCAAACAGATTTTTTTATATAAAAGGTTTCTCAGACTCCTCTACTATTGATCGTGAAGTTTAGTAGCACTGGAATATGTATTTTGTGAATGCGGACTGCGGAAGTGGTAAACAACTTTTCGTTGCTGTTACAGACCACTTTCCAAGGAATGATGGATATTTATTGAAAATTCATGTAATTCAAGCAAACTGGCCATTTTCAAGACGAGAACATAGCAAAGCTTTTTACCTCTGCCATTCTAATAACTGTTGTCTTGAATGATTGTTATTTCAATGTGTTGGTGGATCATTGTATTAAATGTTTTTGAAAAACCCAAAGGAACGAGATGAGCGATTCTGGTTAAAGTATACGGAATATGATGACCGTGCCTCTTTCTTAAACGAAAGGTATGGTTTTCCAGGTAATAATAAAAAAAAATCCTGAACAGTTTTGGGAAAGAAAGTAATTCCTAAAAATAGAACCCTTTCAAATTCATCCTGAACATGTGTAGGGTTTTTACTACAACTATTCAGTTCAGAAACATTTCATTTCTTCATTGATTTTTATTTTTGTATTATAAATTCTTGTTAGGAAATTACCTTTTCTCAACTCTGTTATCGAGCAGTCGTACAAAATATCCATCTGCTTGGGTTTTTATGTTGATTTTTTCTTCTGATTTTTACTCAGCATGTGTGTATTTTTTCATGGCAAATCATAGAAATACTCTATCCTCTCCAACCCAACGGCTAATCCTAATTCGTTTTCCTCGCCACGGGGTTACACAGTTATTTTTCTGTTTGTTCATTTTGTTGATATTAATAAATTTTATTATTTGTAAACGCTGTGTCCGACTGAATAATAATTCACCTATCCCCCAGTCCCGACAACTTTTCAACATTTTCTCAATACATCCTACTCAAACGTTCTCAAACGCTTTCGAAATGTATTTACGAGTAATTGTCCCAGAACAGGGTTGTTTTCCTCAGGAGAATTCCCTTGGGTCTGAAATAATCTTGATCAATACAGTACCACACCTTATACATAAATTGGTGTTTTGAAATGTCGTGCCCCTCAAGAGTTGTGTGACAGCAGTAAACAAAACTCACGAGAGTGAAGGCTATTAACAAGATTCCCAGAAGTAATTAAGTCTTCATGAATGATATCAAATATTCAAGCTGAAAAACACATGATAAATTAAAAATATTTCAAACCTAGTTACTTCACGACGTTCAATTGTTAGTATATACAATCGTCTTTGGGTGATAACTGGATTATTCTCTGGAAGATGTGGTTATTTAAACTCTTTCATCTATCTTCTTTCTTCCTCTCTCTTGTCCGCTTTAGCGGTTCAGTGGGAGTTGGTCGTTTTCAGTTTGATTAATGGTTTCCATATGTTGCATATATATGCGCTTGATTGGCTGAATGCGTCGTTGGACAACATATATGCAGCTTCTCTGAACTTCCTTTTGAATCAGTATTCCTTCCTGTGGATTATCTCATCTTGGGACCACTTGATGTTATTTTGATGAGTTCAAACATGCTCAGCTATTCCTGATTTGCTGGTTTCTCCTTGCTGTGTGTTTCTCTTGTGCTCGGCAATGGACGGAACATACCGATTTTTATAAAGAAGCCAATGTTTTCAACGATGAAACAATTAAAAATTCATTCCGGTTCAATTGTAATTGAACACAAACTAGGATTTTGCAATAGAACTCTGTATATAACTAGAACCACTCTATACGGAATCGACGTATCATGAAATGAACTTGAAGTTTCTAGAACGTTCTGGGCAGAACTTCTAGCACGTAAAGTAAAATTGAGGACTTTTTTTCATAGAGCATAGAGGAATGCTCCCGAACGTTCTGGATATTTCTGAAGTCACAAATTCCAGCCCATTCATAGGCACGTCTTTTGGTTGAAACAAAAAAAAATTAATAAGATTGTTTCACATATAATTTGAGCCGTACCTGGAAGTTCCAGATGACTACTGAACATTCCACAACATTCCAGAATGTCTCGGGATGTTTGGTAATGTTGCGGAATGTTGTAAATTGCTCTGGAACACTCTAGAATATCATATAATCTTCTAGAACTTTCTCCACGGATAGAAATATCAAACCATATGACTTTCTTCATCATTCCAAAGTAGTCTGGCATTTAGATGATTTCTGAATATTGCAACACACTGCAAAGTGTTTTGGGTTGTTCTAGAATATCGTGGAAAACTCTGGAGAGTTTATGACTATTCCAGAACTCTCTAAAGGGGAAAAGTTTCAGCCTGCACATCGTCAAAAAGAAGCCTTTCAGATGAGAACGAGATTATTCCTCATTGCAAATCTGACACTATGACAGAAACAAATATAGATAAACGGTTCTTTTGTAATTTGTGTATAATATCGACAAAAATCCAATTCAAATGGAACGAGAAACCCAACGGACCCTAGCCTTCTTGGGTGTTATCGTAAACAGACGTGAAGATGGTACATTGGGCCACAGAGTATACAGAAAACCAACACGTACAGACAGGTACCTTAATAAACCACACCACAACAAAAAAAGGGTAGTTGAAACATTGACTTATCTGTGAGCCTGAGAAACTCCCTGAGGATCACAATAATCTAAAAATTGCTTTCAGAGGGTCTAGGTACAAGAAAGGAGAATTAGAGTGGGCCAACGACCCAGGGCAGGGATGATGTTGCCTGATGATGGAATTCGGTTCGATACAAATCACTCATTCGTGACGAAATCCAAACAGGTGGTGAATGAGAACTATCATTCAGATTCTCATAATAAGAGTAGTGAAAAAAGTCTTACTAACAAAAATTCATGCAGAGAAAGTGAGGAACGTTTCCCGTTTCTGAAAATCATTACACAGCTTCGTTGCTGGTCATTATATATTTCTACACATTGGGCGTTCAGATTGTATTGATTACTGAAAATTATCAATAACTCTCCTATTTTTCAATAACTTTCAATTTATGGGTAAGTTGTTGTTGTATCAGCGTTATGTAAAGTTGCCAATTCATTAATTCGTATTATTAAATGCAAGAACATGTTGCAATGAAATGGTGTTCTGTTCGCTTTTATCTCGCTATTGCTTCAAATTAGACATGGGATAGAAGAATTCTGAATTTATTATGCAAGTTGAAATAGATCCGAATAATTAGTTTGATACAGAGTTACAAATTAAAAAAAACTAATCAATACAGTTTATTGTATGATTTTCACTATGAGGGTTTAACAAAAACCGTGACACTTGTTTCGCTATACAATAGCTTCTTCAAGCATAAACTGAGAGTTATTTCTAAATGACACCATTTTATACTATAACCTAGTACCTATTCGTCTACCTAAATAATGAATCTACCTGATAGATCAGGAATCAATACATTTTTCGAATCAATAATGGCCAATTATTCAATTCAGTTTGATCGTTCATTCTGAAAACTATATTTGTGTTCCTTTATGCGGGCTTTGAATGTTCTTCCAGTTTGACCTATATAAAACATCGGACATGATACACACGATAATTTATACATTCCTGATTTTTCTGAAACTGAACTTTTGTCTTTGTTGCACTTGCAGACCGACCGGTTTTGGGCTATTTCGCCTCTCGTCAGTGCAAGGTAGTGTCTATCATCACCATGAATTTGATGATTTCCATAATGAAAAATCGAATTGCTTTCAGAGTATCATTACTCGCAGAAGATCTTTGCAAGATGAGTAAAACGTTTCATTGAATTGGAAATAATTCTGTGACAAACACAACGTAAGCAAGTCTAATATTTCATTTTTCACTACCGGATTGATAGAGTTTTGTCCAATAGATTCTCCACCAAAGTAATCATTTCATTCGGAGGGATGCTGGGAAACAGATTCTTTAGATCAAAAGAAATCAATTTGGCATTATCCGGGACTGTAATATCTTGAATTTCATTAATCAAATGGTATGAATTCCTCAAACTGAATTTTGATTTGAAATTGGTGTGGTTTTGGTTAGTTACAAATTTCTTCAGTTAGGTTAGATTAGTTACAAATTACTCGAAACCGGTGCATGACTGAAGATTCACTTTCAAACGAATCATACGATATGATACTGAATGAGACGTTTAATAATTAAAGCTACTGAATGGCAGGTTCTTTCTGGCATTCTACATTCATCTCTCGTAAAGGAATTACGATTCAGAACCATTTGTAGGGTATCAAAAAGACAATTGTTTTTCTTGCCAACAATAGCTTTTCTTTTCTTGTTACCTAAGAAACCTTCCTGAAGTCTGATACCTATCAGAAAACTCATCAGCAAACAATTACTCCCCCGGCTAATACCACGAAGAGCGTTGGATTATATCCTACAGTTGCCAGTGCAGGATTCTTCACAGAAGCAATTCCTGCATATGCTGTTGGCGATACAACTGCTGGAATCGATTTTCAATTATTGGAACAGGTCCACTTGCAGACCGACTGGTTTCAGGCTATTTCGCCTCTCGTCAGTGCAAGGTGGTGTCTATCATCACCATGAATTTGATGATTCCCATAATGAAAAATCGAATTCCTTTCAGAGTATCATTCCTCGCAGAAGGCTGAAGCAAACGATAAACAACATATTCGTCATCGCCTCATCTTACCGTAAACGAGGTACTAACAACCGCATAACAACTGGTTGTGAATCAGTCAGTCTAGGTGAGTTGAAACTCACCTGGACTAACTAACTAAAACATGAATCAGTTTGAATAAGTCTGAATGAATAAACATGAGGCATTTGAATCACTGGACTATTTGAATTAATCAGTGATATAAATCAGGAAATGGTATTTAAACCCTAGAAGGTGTGTTTCTGAATTAAAAATATATTCTGAAAACTGAGGGCTCTGTATATGTGAGGTACACTGTCAATCTTTGTCTATTTGAAAAAATATCAACTTAACGAAGGGATACATTAAATCGACTGAAAAAACTGATTTCATTATTTTCAGAATAAACGCTCAGGGTATGTTACTTATATTGATTTTGACAACATAATAGAAACAAATGTATGGAGACAGTTCATAACCGCTATTATTGACTTGCCAAGAATGAAATTATCCAGAAAAAATATAGAAAGAGACTTAGTTTGCAGGTATTCTTTTCTTATAGATTAGTTTTTCGAAATTATAGGATTGAATTCTGCTACTGACTCTACTCATCATTGTGTTTACAGAACCCGAAGCCAATGTCGCTTCTCGGCAAGCTTTACGTATATGAACTGTTGAAAAAACTACATTGAGAAAGGTATCCTCCTAGAATCGAATATATCTTTTAATATTTCAGATATGAAAGTATTATTAATTACTACAACATGAATAGGTATTGCATTATCAAAGATACTAAGACTATTCAGAGAGGATTTTCTACTTCTTTTCAATTTGTAAATGAATCCAAACTCAACTACGGTGATGTGGAAAATGTTCCAATTTGAATTATAGCTTTCAGTTGTGAAGCAAATAAGTAATAAGCAAATAAGAAATAAGCAAATAAGTTATAAGTATTCGTGTTGTTTTCTTATTCTGCGAATTCTTTCTGATTGTTTTTCGTGATGAATTAAATTTTTCATGTCATTCAACTTCCATTACCCTATATTACTTTTCAAAAATAGAAAAAAATCAAAAGTGAAAACTTCTCAACTACATACACAGTGGGGTCTCGTAAACGTCTGTCGAAAAACAACTACTTCTTTGGCTAATACCAGTACAGGGTAGGATTCAATATCCAGCGTGGAATCAGTCAGGAAAGTAGTTGTTTTCCGACAGACGTTTTCCAGACTCTACTGTGTACTTAGTTGTGAGAGATTAATATTAACAAGTATATTTTATTGCTTTGTGTTGAACCTGATGATATTTTAAAAATTACTTCCTGCAAAAAACCGTCAAAATTTCATTTCCATAATATTTTGACTATCCGAGTTTTTCGCTAGGGTGTATAATATAATAAAAATTGAACATATTATTTCCATCAGTGAATATAACAGTTGAAGTAAAAACAAAAATATTACAACCGATAGAAAACATCGCGACTTTTTTCTGTTCAAGAAAATTTTACTTTTTTGTTCAATTTACTTTTTTGAGCCATCGGAAGAATTTTCAATTTTTTTATTTCATTTACTACGAATCCCCCTTATTTCATCGTACCTAGTACAATAACTGCAACAGGCGTGTAATGGCTATTTTCTCTACGACTATAAAAAAGCATTAATTATGTTTTTTAACGAAACACAATAATCACATGTACACGAGAAATGTATACCAGAAATATGTAATCTGGCAAAGAAATTAATATTAGAGTTGTAAGATGAAACTCTGATACTTTGATGCCACAACTTGTATTAACGAGTACTGAGAAGTTGGTAAAACTGAAGTTTTCGATTTCAATTCTAATGGTTTCTCCAGGTTTTTAGTGAAATTCAATGGAGCTACTCCGCAAAATATCTCTCACAAATGAATCTCATTTCGAAATATTCCAGAGCGAGCCACAGAAAAAGTATAGTATTCTGCTGGCGAGAAATGGACATCACCACCACTCTTGAGAATTTTATTGAAGTTGACAACTTCTTCTGTAAACTTTTGTACCAACAATCATATTTACAAGATCATTTTGGTATCTTTAGTTATAACGGTATCAAACATTTTCATTTTACATTTCTTGGAACGGTGTGTTTGTGAATGACAAGACCTCATCATTATTGAATAACATTTTTCCATTTCAGAATGAAAGACATAGACTGATGAGGAGAAACATAGTTAGATACGCAGTATTAGCATATGTAATAACACTTCAGAGGGTTTCTCTAAGGGTTAAGAAGAGATTTCCAACTTGGCAGCACGTTGTAGATTCTGGTAAGTGAAGTTCATGAGATAATATTTCTTTTTACAATGTCGTTAAGTACTGATAATTAGTTGATTACCGGAAAAACAGATTTTAAACTTATGTTCCTTCAATAATATAAAACGAAAGTCCTTCTGAATTAATTGTTCAGAGAGTCCTGAAATATTATGTATTTTCAGTTTGAAATTACATAATACGGTTGGTATTCTGAAATGTATTTCATCAAATAGGCGATATTTTGAAATTTGAATTGAATTGAATTCGAAAATTTTATACGTATAAAATGTTGCTGCCAGGAATGAATTCTAGCAAATCGTGAATATCAAATGCTCTCGATATTCATCATTCCTCATCACTAGCCATTGGATGATTTGCGAATATACTCGATTATAGTTAAGACTCACAATATCGTGAAGTTTTTATGTACAGTTCCTAATAAACATTGGACAGAAGAAGTGTATGTTCACAGACTAATCAGGAAATGATTCAAGAAAATAGTATTCCATTTCATAAATCTGAATATGCATGATGCCATTCAAATGATTACCTTCATTCATGTTGAATTCACGTGTTGATTGTTATAATTTCCTGATATAATTAAGCCATCAAACAGGATATACCCATTTTGAGTGTAGAATAGATTAGTTTCCGTTCAAACCTTTCGTTATTTAGTCAGTGTGAATCCTGTAGATACGAATGACTAGCAGGTACCAATAATCATTCGTATGCAAGTTGTTGATGAATGACAATTTTCAACTCTTCCGTTTCATATCTTAATATCGATGATGATGATCTTTATGGAATATATTCGAACACTGATCATAAATCGTTTGCATGTTAGAAACTGTTTATTATTTGTATAGGTACAAATTGTTCATCAAGAATGGAATGATCATTTTGAAACGGATTGGCAGAACTGCTAATTCTTAGAAGTGATTAATTTGCATTTGAAAATTTCAATGACACCATTATTCATTGGAAATTGATTTTGTTCGAAATAATTTTTGAGAAATGCTACCATTATTGAATAACAATGAGATATCCCAATCAAATGTCTTTCAGAATACTTTTGTAAAAAGATAACGAAAATATTCAAAACAAAAAGTATTCAAAACCGAAGGAAGAATCCTTCTCTTCAATTTCTTGATATTCTCATATTAATTGAAATAATATGTAGGTATTGAAACTACTGTCTAATTACTATGCCCACCTCTCATGAGATCATCCAGTATAAAAATTTCAAAGCACCACACTCCGCGAATATTTACAGACGGAATAAAAACTTCTTATGTTTGTATTACAGCAGTAGAATTTTTCAGATGTAGAATTTTTGTAGATGTAGACCAAAAAAGTACTAAGGAATTATATAGTTGTATTTAGACGTTTCGCAGGCTTGAATCTACCTCCGTCTTCAGAATTGGAAAAACTGAAATGTATCTATCTGTTTTCTCTTTCGATTTGATTTATTTTCTTACTCTGAAATAAAATCTATGAAGATATATAGATCATTCATAAAAGTTACTCCCTCAACTTTCAACTACTTTCAGACAAACATTGTATTATAAGAAAATCACTTTTTCACATTCAATTTGTACTCCAAGTTGGAAAAAAGTTTTGTCGGTGTTGGAAGTTTTTTTTTGTACCATCGGTATTGAACAAATTTCACCATCTTCTGTTTCTGCCTGTATTTTTTTAATTTTGTCTCAGCTTCACCTGAAAGCTGGGATCTTCGTAAACTGTTAATATTCACAAATTCCTTTTTTACCGAATCTTCATTTTTTAGAACTTCTGCTACATTATTTGGTGACATGATCTGATAATTCCATTCAGCTCAAGATCCCTGAAACAAAGTATTTCCTTTGCCTATTCCAGAACACAAATCTTTTGAGAATCAATTCGAGTACCAGGTAAATCTATAGTCATTCCACTCTGTAGTCATTCCGATCTGTTTCAAACTATTGTAAAGCGAATAATATAGAAACATTTTACTTTGTCAAACCTTCCAGTCACAAAATTTCATTTGTCCAATTCGATATCATTTGCATTTGCTCCCATTGCTAGAAACAGAAATCAACATTGAAGATGAAATGTATATTTACGATAGAGAAAACTAGTCAAGCTTCATTTTTACATAAACAATAAATGCATTGTGTAGAAGCCAAATGAAATAAATTCATTATTTCGGTTACTGTACATATTTAAAAGAAAACCGAAACACGTCAAATTTAAATTGTGATTTGACATTCTCCAACGTAAAAATGCCACCCCTACCTTTAACCTCCTTCGAATGACAGGTACAACTCCCAGTTTTTTGAATAGGTTTGTGAATTGTCGTTTGAAAGGTCTCTTCATTTTCTATTCAAAAATGTTATCGCTTCCAAGTTTATTGCAACAATTGAGATAAAATAAATTAAAATCACGTGGTTAGCAAAATTCGATAAAATAAACACCAAAAACTAAAATGTAATGCAAAACGCAATGAAATGTAAATGGCCGACCTAATCGCGAACGTTATTCGTTCTTTTGAGTCATTCAAATCTGAAGGTTTAGTTTTGTATACATTGTTCTTTACATATCCCCACAAAAAGATGGCCATTCAATCAATGGTCGCCTCCCTATGCACCGTTTGGGAAATGTTGTATCGATGTATTGCCTGACATTAACTTGGTAATGTGGTGGTGCTCCATCCTGCTGAAACAACATTGTATTCACTGGAGCTGGAGGGTTTCCTGGATCAGGATATGAATTTGCTAAATGACATAATTTTGAAGTATTGCCAAAAATCATCACCAGTCAAGTTGCCTTTAATGAAAAAGGGACCAATGATATGGTTTCTTACAATCCCTTTGTAAAAAGATACCTTTTGAGGGTATCACGTGTGCTTTTCTTCCATCCATTAAGAATTTTCCGTTGACCAGTAGCGTCAATTTTGCCGATTAGCATAACCGGTAAGAGACAAAGTACACTCATCAGAAAAAATAGCGTCTACTTATTGGATGATATTGTTATCCAACATGTCCATCATTTGCTCACAAAAATGAATTTTTTCATCAAAGTCGCCTTCCATGAGCTCCTGAATAGGTATCATTTCATAGGGATGCATTCTATTTTCTTTTAATTTGTTTTCTATTGATGTATGGCTAATATTGAATGTAGTGGATGTCTGTCGACTCGATGTATGTGGATTTTCCTCAAACTCATCTAATTTGAGTTAATAACTCATTGCATTGACAGCTGCTTTTTATATCTGTACATGACCAAGCTCGCGAAACTGCTTCTCTATTTTGCTTATTGTTCCTTGTGATATGGGCGGTAAATTAGGAAATTTCTCATGAAATAAACGAGCTACTTCCTGTTGTGTTCGGGTTTTATCTCTGTAACCAATCATTTGTAGAACTGCTATTTTATGCATTTCCGTTAATGTAACTATTTGTCAGACTTGAAGTTAACGAACTTTAAACTTAAATTAAAATACTGACAACTGATGTTGTAATAAACAAAACAAGTTGACAAGGCGTTTAAAACTAATGTTGCAATGAAAATTATTCACAGTTTTATAAAGGATACCATGTAAAAAGAACGTTGCTATGGTTTTTGCCCACTTTCTTATTATAAATACCTCAACATGAAATGAATTTTGAGTATATTGCAATAAGTTTTGAGTGTATTTTATCGAATTTCGGTAACCACATGATTTTAACTTATTTTATCTTAATTGTTGCAATAAACTTCAAAGCGATAACATTTATGAATAGAAAATGAAGAGACCTTTCTAGCGATATATCACAAGCATAAACTTCCTACTTGAAAAATTGAGGGTTGTACCTGTGTTTCGACGGGGGTTGAAGGTAGGGTTAGCATTTTTCCGTTGGAGTATGTCAAATTATAATTTAAATTTGACGTATTTCAGGATTTTGTTAAAAAATGTACCATAACCGAAATAATGAATTTATTCCATTTGGCTTTTACACACTGTATACAAATCTTGTAAACAATTTATGGGAGAGAAAAAATTCCACTTTCTATCTCAACGAAACATCGCAATGAGAGCGGATGTTGTTAATATCGATAATTGTATTCACGTTTGGAATTTGATCGAAAAATCGACTTCAGCAACAAATGATAAAATACGAAAGTCGTATCCTTTGTATACCGATATGGATGTTATGGAATGACCTTTTTGTATGCTCCTCATACACACTTTTCAATATGTAAACAATGACCTGTAGCACATGTTCTAGGAACGTGTGACTACGGAGCTCGGCAATAGTTCCATGTACCGACGCAGACAGGAAGTTAAAGGTTATTCATCGACTCTGCAAGTTTTGTGTGTGTGAATGATATAATAATATTTCTGACCAATATTTCGTCGATAGGAAGCGATTTTCGAGTAAAACCTTCTTTACTTTACGATTTTATGTTGATATACAGTGTGGTAGATTAAGTGCGCAACAAATGGACATTTTTTTATCGAAATTCGAATAACGCCTACTATTAAAAATGTACATTTTTGCAAAAACCTTCAATCTTCCGAACGGAGGTGTCATTACTCAAATATTTTTGCGATGGTGAGTCAAAACTTGACAAGATATGAGCAACTGAGATTTAATGCGGGCGTATATATATATCACAAGGGCTCCATGAAGTTTAAAATTTATAGGCCAATTATTTATACCTTTTATCCCATTATTTCTGCTAACGGAGATTGGGAAAAAATTTGTTAGTTAACAATTGAATAACTTTTTGAAAAATTTTGATAAAACTTTTTTTCTACGGGACTCGATTCACTCAAGTGTTAAGAAGATACTAGATTTTTTCAAATTTTTGAAATGACATTTTATGTTATAAAAAAATTATTTCTTTTGATAAACTCTTTTTAGCGGCAGCGCGAAACCCTATTTTCAACGTCAAATTAAAATTATAAATAATGGAGATAGATTTTTGGGAGTTGGAACTTTTTCATCGGAAATTTCCTCCTCTTCAACGAGCTTTTTTCAAAATTGCTTAAATATTAATACTTTTTGAGTTATTAACGAAAAACTAAATACCATTTTTTTTAAATCTTATTTTGTTAATAACAATTGCAAGTTTTTACCTGCACCAAAATTCTTCAAAAACATTTCTCTAGAGGTGATTCCGAATCGAATGAGCTATCGCTCAGATTTTTAGGACCTTTATCTCTATTTTTCATATTTTTGAACTTGTTGATTAGACTAATTGTTATTTTTATCTCTTGCAAATACTGAAATAAAGAGCTGAAATTTCCACGGAAAACTAGTGAAATATTTGAACTTCGTGACACCATGAAAATTTTGACGCTATTTTGAACGGTGGTACTGAACATTTCAAAAATGACATTTGACACTCAACCACCTAATGAATTTTCAAAATAGTTACATTTTGGAGTCTGTTCTTCTTTGCTTTTGCGCAACCAAAACGATAATTATTCATTTTTTTGATCGGATTGTTATGGGTGATGAAAAGTAGATCCTCTACGACAACAGAAGACGTTCGAGACACTGGTAAGAAAACAATGAGCCACTGAGGCACTTCCCAGAGGCAAAAACCCACCAAAAAAGACAATGGTCACTGTATGGTGGTCAGCAGCTGCTATTATTCACTTAAATTTTTTCAAACCGGACCAAATCTTCACAGCAGACTTCTTTTGTGGAAAAAATCGACGAAATGTACCGAGAATTGCGTCACTGGTCGACAGAAGTGTCACAAATCACTGTTCAAAAATTGAAACACTTGAACGTCGAAGTTCTGCCCCATCCACCATACTTCCCAGACCTCTTGCCGACTAACAATTATCTTTACGAGCACTTTGATAACTTTCTCATCGATGAAACTGCCGCCAATCAGGACAAGGTAAAAACGGCCTTCGTCGATTTTATCGAATCCCGAGCATCCAATTTTCATGCTGTCGGAAATTATCGACTTGTGCAACGTTGGAAAAAGTGCGCTGATTCAAATGGCGCTTATTTCGATTGAATTAAATGAGTATTCACTGCTATATTTCAATTTAAAGTAGACTTACAAATACGGATAAAACTTTCGAAACAACCCTACAATGGGTGAGCAGCTGCAGATATACTGAATTTTAAGATTTAGTCGAGGTGGTTTTACCCTCGAAAGGGGGTGCAAGTGGCATAATCGAAAGTGTCTCCCTTTAACCAAAAACCAACCAATTCTTGCGTTTTTTCGAGAAGATTGATGGAACTCCTGATGATAGCTTTGTTCCATTTCAGTTAAGTCATCCTGTATAGCACTGAAAAGGTTCTCATACTATCCTATCATTACGCAGTCAGGTATCAATTTATTTCCAAAAAATTTCATACTTCTAGATTGGTGTTATTCATTTGTATTATATACATAAAAAATGCCGTTATAATTTCCATACCAACCGTCTCAGAATGTATTTATATCGTGAATCATACATTAAAGGATGCCTGTGAAATTAGAATGTGGTGATGTGTGATCGGAAAGTAATTAATCTGTCTCTCACTCATGTTTATAAAGTACCTGGCGCCAAAATAGAAAAGAGAAAATTCCGCTTTGCACAGAAGTGAAATTGTAAAAAATCTAATTGAAAGTTGCAGATAATTACATTTCTTTCTACCATCGACGACTATGAATTTGTCTCATTTTTTAACATTCGGTTACCAAAATTCTCTTGATACAGTTATTGCCGATTATATTCCACTATGAATGCTCTTACATTCTCAAGGAATTATGGGATAAATAATAATAATAACACTCCGGGGGATATTGAATCAGTTGTGGGGAACGAGAAGAGCCGAATTTATTGGAACTATTCGTTTTCCACCCTCAGGCTCATACAAGCTAATAAGCCTGATGTAGTCCTTCTCGACCATCAAAGTAAAACGATATTTGTCGTGGAGTTTTCAGCTCCTGGCGATACAAAAAAATCGACAGAATATAAAAAAAGTAAGAATTATTTGTTTATTACGAGGAGATTTTTTCGGGGGATGGGGTTGGTTACCACCCTTACATTTTAGGTAAATTGAGTGGCACCTCCTTATGAAGATTGCCTTTTGACGTGGATATTTTATCCTTCTGATAAAAAAGTGAATCATACTGGAAACTTACCTACACAACGAATACAACCTGCTGATTTCCTTGAATGCTGATGACACAGGAAAGTTTAAAAAACTGTTTTAGGGTGGATAAATCCCAATAATTGTTTTTAAAGCACACACAAAAAAAGTAACACCTAATAAGGGTAACTCACATAGGAAATTTGGAGTAAATGTTCAAAATGTGCGCCATTTTGCTCCATGCAATAATAAAGATTTTGTTCAAATTTTGCTCTTATATTATTCAACATCTCGAGAGTTATAGCTCGGCATTCATCAATAATTCTACGACGTAATTCATCCAAATTGGCTGGCTGTGTAGCATTAACTTTAGACTTTAAATATCCTCACAAAAAGGAGTCCAGTGGTATTAAATCTGGTGATCGTGCTGGCCATTCAATTGGACCTCTTCTGCTAATCCATTGTCCTTCAAAATGATTATTTAAAAAATTTCGAACCTGCTGGGCATAATGGGGTGGTGCACCGTCTTGTTGAAAATGGATAAATTCATCTTGACATCTTGAATCCTGTTCAATTATTTCAACTATACGAGTTTGTATTGCCTCTTCGAGAAGTTGTAAATAAGAATCACCGGTTGAATTTTCATCAATGTAAAATGGACCTATAATATGATTGCCTAATATTCCGGCCCAGACATTCAACTTTTGAGGATGTTAGGTATGTATTTCTGCGAATTGTCTTGGGTTTTCATCCGACCAACAACGGCAATTGTGACGGTTTAGGCAACCATTTAAATAAAATGAGCTTTCGTCCGAAAAACAGATGTTATAAAGCAGCTCGGGATTTTGCATTAATCTCTCACTCATGCCCTCACAAAACTCCTGTCTTCGGTCAAAATCATCCTCATTGAGTTCATGAACAAGTTTAATTTTGCAAGGATGGAATTTGGGGTTTTTAAGGATTCTCCAAGCGCTCATATGGCTTATTCCGGCCATTACTGATAAACCTTTGGTACTTAACTTGAGATTGGCGATGACTTGACCAATCACTCCAATTGCATTATCGTCATTCACTATGCTTCTCTGAACATTTCTTTTCTTATTTAAAACCGAACCTGTCTCCCTGAATTTTGTGACCAAATCCAGAACGTGATTTCTGCTTAGGTGTTTACCAGGGTTTTGCTCGTTGAATAAAATTGATGTTCTATTAGCATTTTGGTCGTTGCCAAAAAATAGAGCACCCCTCCGAGGGGGTGCGTACTACAAAAAATCTGATTAGTCTGAAAGGTGTCCCCCTTCAATTAGAAATCGACGTGTACGAGCTTTTTTAAAAAATCTCACGTTTCATATTAAAAAACGGCTCTGTTAAGTTTTCGTTGTTACACACTGTATTCATATTGTTATATGTTGTTGGAAAGGAGAATGCCGAATAAGTTTCCGTACAAAAAGCTGATCTAAACTGAAAATAGTTCTTTTTCAATCAATTTATATGACTGGTAAAGCAGTACCAAGATTATAGTCGTGAAATTTTTGCAAGGACTGACTGAGTTGTATTTTGAAGACTGTTTGTGAGACTGCTCACATAAAAGGAGTTTCGTCTCTGAGCAAACCCTGAAGCTGCTAGATTCTAAGCAGCAAAAAACGATCTGTTTGTTTGGGGACCCGAACATCATAAGCAACATTGACAATTTGATAGGAAGGTTGAAGATTCATCTCTTCCTTACAGATAGTTTAAAGGAAAGTGTTCGATTGACTCAGCCAACAGCTTGATTCCACCCAGAGCGATATTTGTTATAAGTACGCGTCAAAATACAGTTGCCCATCGCTTCGTGATTCTACCCAACAAACCTGAAACTACCCTTCAAGTTCTCTCCCGGAAAACGATGTCCTTGTGCGATAAACTTCTCCGGGAGCATTTTTCCAGATGAATATTATTGTAAATCATGCCCGAAAGGAAATAACGCCGGCCGCCTCTGGTAACCATAAAGCAAACGTGACGTAGCTGAGAACGTGGGAATATCCGAAGTGGGAATATCCAATGTTACCTGCCGCTCGAGAATCAGCAAGAAACGTGCTATCGATGTCGATGGAACTAAGGCGAAAATTCTACGATGTTCCATTGCCATATTTAAATGCTGGCTGCAAGCGTATTTAGACAGTCAAGTACACAGCGAAGTGGCCGTAACAGTGGCGGTACGCAAAGTGATCTAGTAAGGCGATAGAGATTCAAATAATAGTTGAAATTTTTAGGTAAAGTGTTTGTAGTATTTCAAGGAAAATAAAGTTAAATTTAAGTATTCAGTGTAGTCATTTATTGATAACGTAACAATATAGTTTACACAGATCTGAATCTGAATTAAATCACTACTATTGCACGGGAATTGTTTGGTGAAGGAATTGGATAGTAAAAAGTAATTTTTCTGTAATCAAATCGGTTGCTTCATGCCAAAATATAGTGTGTGACAATTAATAATTTGTCAAACAAGCAGAGAAATGTAAAAACACTGAGTCGTGTTTTGATTACGCTATATCTGCAAAACCAATGCTATGGGGCAGCCGCAATATTCTGAAAATATTTACTGTCAGATCTCCAAATCTTCATGTCGAGTATTGATTGGAATAGTCAATTCCCTCCCCCCATTGGATGACTTTCACTCTTCATACTTTATGGAAGCGTAGAACAGTCAAAAAAGTTATTTTCTCAGACACTGACCTTCCCTAAAAACATTTCCTCTTCTTACTCTGAAAATAAACAAAGAGATAGACGGATAATAAACGAAATATTCGACATGTACTGTGATAATGAGTATCGCTCTGTCAATATCGATTTTGTATACATGAAATTATTGTGATTGTTCACAGGTCTGATGTTGGAGAGCGAAAGAAAAATTTTTGAGCTGATGGACCAACGAACGCCAATGTCCAAGTACTGGATGCCCCTGGTATGGGCGACCAACATCATAAATCGAGCTAGAAAAGAGTCGATAATCACGAGCGATCACATTGTACAAACGCTGCTGATGGAATTGTCGGACATCCGGAGAAAGTTGGGTGCTCTAATCGGATATGATACAGTGAATGTTCCTCTAGTCTACACTCAGGTAAGAAAATATATTCGTTTCTGTTCTGTGAATGCAGGACATCTTTGTGTAACATGCTTGTGAAATGTGGTTGTTTCAAGAGTTTTTCAATCGAAACAAGCGCCATTTGAATCAGTGCATTTTTGCAGACCTAACATTGTTAATTCCGTCAGCATAACAATTGGGTGCTCGAGACTCGATGAAGTCGAGCCAGTGGAAAAGTTATCGTATTGCTTGAGAAGATGGTATTTGGTTGGCAACAGGTCTGGAGAGTATGGTGGTTTCGGTTGCGCAAAAGCAAAGATGAATCACCCACCTTTAGAGCTTTCTGACCTTCCCAACCATCAAAACCTGCATGTGAGCTGACGCTCAGTTCTTCTGTCATTCCACGCACTGTTTGGGAAGGGTCAGTCTTCACCAGGCTCCTCATATCGGGCCGTTTTGGCAGCACTTTCGTTCAAACGAATTCGTAGAGAAAAATTGGCCAAAAATCGCTGAAGAGGGTCAAAGCATTAAATTAGGAAAAAATTGGCAGCATCCATGTGTTGAGTACAAAATTCTCCATTGATAAGTATATACCATGACACAGTGGAATTGATATTTATTGAGATATGGAGCTGAAAAACTACATGATTTCAAAACGGACAGAACTTCCGCAATCACTTACAATTCCAGTGTGAAAGGCAAAACATGTTCATCATTGAAAATGGTACTTTTGAAAATGAAAATTTCATTCAGAGAACTTATTCTTAATACTGAACATCTATTCAGTTGGTGCAATATAGGAAGAGATTTCCGAGTTTTGACTAGCTATATATTATTGTCTGGTGAAAGGTACAACAATGGGAACTATGCCAAAAAGGTACAGTACCAAGGAACAAAGCCAAGAAGGCACCTTTTTGCTTCCTTGTATGTACAAAAAATTATACAGTACAAAGACTTCAAAGAAAAATCAGAAGCAGAGTATTGATTGATTCAAACTTTCATCAATCTCTTGTTTTCATCGTAAGTAATGAAACAGTTTCATATTTGTCTCAGAACATTAACGAAAACTTTCACGGCACTCTTTCTATAAAGAAATTCATAACAGAATATCAACGAATTGAACAGTTAAAAAACATTTGTAATATATTGCATTTGTACTTACGTAACACATTTGGCGATGACACTTGAAAAGATGACCTTGCCGGGTATAAAATATGGAAAGTAAGTTTATACATTGTTTCCGATTCCGTAACAAAAACATTCTTATTTTACTCTTGAAAGATAAATCGTTATTTCAGATTTTGCGTTATAAGTTAGTATTTTCGTGCAAATTGAACAATGTTTCATTGATTTCCACAGACACGATGGATGCTTTTTTTAATAATAATAAATATAATTAAAAAAACTAAAAAACACGCTTTTAAAGAATATCGATTTAAAAAGTTAAAAATAATTTTTTCAAATAAGCTTAAAACAATGAAAAATAGTAGTATTATTGTGAAAAAAGAGATAGGCGCCTGATATACAAAAATATTGCAAAAGCGCCCACGCTTTTTTCACAATAATACTGGTATTTTCCGTTCGTTATTGTTTTAAGCTTATTTAAAATAAATATTTTTAACTTTTTAGTTTGATGTCCTTTGAAAGCGTGTTCTTTAGTTTTTTTTTTAACTATATTTATTTTTCACTCTTTAGTCCGATTTATTGTCAAAAATATCTTTTTTTAAGTTCTAGTCACTAGTATTATAAATCTTTAACAGGCGGCGCATGAATGTAAAATTCCTCTCAAACAACATAATAAAGTTTGAGGTCTCAAATTCTATAGTAATACTGAGATTCAGTAAGTTCCCAACAGAGGGCGGCCAGTTGTAAAATTTGTTTCGAAGTAAAGAGAAAATTTGCAACATAATTTTAAAAAACAATTCAGTCTTAATGTTTTGATTTGAAGTTTCATTCAAAATAGTAATGGACTAAAAATATTTTTTCAGTGGATAATTTCATTTTCTAAATCAATCTTTTGATACATACATACATACAAACAAACAAACATACATACATATATACATACAGGTGAAGTTAATATAAAGCGTGTAATAAAAAATAACCTCGTGTTGACTCCTGCTGATTTTGAAATAAAATGATGATGTTCGTTGTAGGATTAATAAGAGTAGAAGATTTTTCCGTGATATATTTTGACACTTAATTCCGATGTCACAAAAATAAGTACATCTCCATCTATTTCTCAATAAATAACTACAAGACGTTGATAAGTTTTATGTTTGTTGAAAAAGGTTTAAGTTTGTTTGATATGTGGACAGCTTGATAGCAAATTGTTTTTTTTTGGTACTTGAAATACACTACTATGAATGTTCAATCGATGTTTCTATCAAGATAAGACATTTTCACTGATTTATCTTCAGTAAACAATCCACTTTGCTCAGACTCACATCATAAAAAAGTGAAATTGAGTATGCTAATTGGTTATTTACGAATTTATGGATCATTATGACTCATCGTTGTGGTGACATTTTCAATCTTATTCTTATAATAGCATAACGATGTCGAAAAAAGGGAAATAAATATCGATTGATTGATGGATTAGGATATAATTAACATTTTTGGGGACACAAGATAACAGCAGATGTTTACATTTATTAAAAAGGACTGGGCATTCCTGGAATGTAGAACTTATGAATAAACACAACATACAACTGAAATAAATTTATAACAAGCACTTATATTGATCCCCAGAACTGAAATACTCTTTTTTTTGCACGATTCACCAAACAAGTTGACGAGTTGACATGCCGGTATCAAAATCAAGTTTCAAAATCAGGTATTGAATTTGAACTCGACGGAAGTGAGGTATTGAAGGCTAAGCAAGACCTTAAGGCATCGATGATGTTCTTCACAGTTTCATCAGTTTCCTCATGATCCATTTTCCTCACAAAGATCCCAGCAATCCCCTTCAACCATTCCATATCCTAATTACCGAATAATCAACCAAATATCATCGTGAATATAATGTCCAATTCACAAAAGAGTTCAGTAATCGAAGTTGACCACAATCTCATAGAACGGATTTAAGTTCAATGTCGAAACAAATAAGGAAAGATATGTAAATCGACCAGGTCAGGTGGAGAAGAATAGAAACAGGTTTTCAATTATATCTTCGGATGGTGATAACTTTTACAGCGTGGCTCAAAATATTCGCAACTCGCTGAAAAATCACATTCAATTTCTAGTAGGCAACAATTTTGTTGAAGAACAAGAATAAATGTCTACCTTCCTCTCATTATTACTACTGCAAGATTCGACGATGCCTGACAGCATTTGCAGTGCTTCAAGGCAACTCATTCTCATGAGATTTCGTCATATCGTATATTACACACAGTGATGCAGTGCCATAATTGTTGGAATTCTTGTCAAATAAATCAGTTGACGGTGTAGGTTCGTCAAGGATTAAGTTGAGGCAGTGTGCATATTTGAGTCATGAGGTTAATAGGAAATAGTTTTTTGAAATGATTCAAAAACATACACTGGTTGAGGCAGAAAACTCTTCGTAAACCACCTCAACAATCAAAACCTTCATAACAAGAGTTGCCGTAGTTAATGACTATCAATGAAAGCAAAGAAAGAAATGTTCTGGATATAATGATTAAAATATTGATAAACATTATTATTTTTGGTGTTTTCTGAACGAAATGTCTTACCAGTAGATATAATCACAAATGTACCGTTGTGAAAGACAGGGTCATATGTTTCTGTACTAGAGCTATCTAGAACACAATACAATTCTGTTTGTGGTTCAGTAGAGGAGATAACAATTATTGAATCCGTTTTTTGGAGTTAATTAACATTTATGGAATAGATTGTCAAAGGAGCTTTCAATGAAACTGGTTAGAATTTCGACTCATATATGCAGCAGACATGGTCCGTAACGATACTATACTTATGACTTCTGTTTGTTGGTTTGAGACAAATCTGCAAACGGATTTGGTTATGGAAAGCTAAAAACAGCTCATTGAAAGTTCAAAACGTACTGTTTCTCTTCCACAAGTTTTTCTTTGAGTCGTCTTTCATGTGGAATCGATTCTTGAGTCGATTTACAGTTGTCGAATTTCGTATTTTTTTGTAGGTAATCTATGCCTTTTCCTAGGTGTTGGCAACATGTTTATTCTCTTGAGTGTTGCAAATTCATTCCTTTCCAAAAATTTATTGTTGTACAACAATTTATTTGTTGTACAACTTGCCCACTTTTGAGTAGCTTGTTTACTCTCTTTTCCCTATTGGTTTGTTGGGCAAGATCACTCTTCCTAACTTCCTCAAAGCAGTTCAAACTCTATTGATCCCCTAAACTGTTTTTGAGGACTTCAGTATTCTCGGCGAATTACTTTAGTGATTGGGCCAGTTTTTTATAACTGCGTCATACATCTGCACAGTTGTTATTTCTGAAATCCGAATATAAATGCTCTCCAGTTACGGAGCTGTCACAATCCTATGAAAATTTTTTATTCAGACTTCCTTAACTGCACTATAAACCTCTCTGACTTCGCTTATGATCTAATATTTCACTTCCTTTATCTTTTTCTACCAGTTATTCTGAATCGGTGAATCTACAAAGCATAAATATTGGGAGCGTAGATTGACTACCATCTCATCTGTATTATTTTCCACCAATATCGTGACAAATACACACATCAGAAAAGTCTAGGAATATTTTTATAACATACTAACATAACTAACATAACTAACATAACTAACATACTATAACATACGTTTAACTTCGATTAAATTGGTACACTCGACCACCCTGTAGATTTCTATGGTTTGAACAAAGCCTGCAAAAACGGTAACTAATCTTTTTTCAAGTTTTTTACAAACTGTAGGTTTTCGGCTAAAATGAATAATCTGAAAGTGTCGAGTTTGTACATTCTATGCAGTTCTTGCTCAGCAATTAAACTGGAAATATTGTGCTTTAACATGGAACGCCATCACTTACCATTGGCTGAGATGAATAGAGCTGTAGGGCTTCT